TCTAGGAAGGGGAGTGGCAAGCATTTCCAGGGCAAAATTGTCTTTTGCATGAGGGGCCGAGACTTTCCCTTGGTCTTCTTTGTGCAGGTTGTAAAAAAGAAAAATACAGATCTTGGAACCTCATGGACTCGAACACTTGGCAGCTGTGTGGTATTGGATAAGTTGTTTGTTCCAACTGAGCATCCACAGACCTATTGTCAAATGAGAAAAACTAACACCTTCAGTTGTATTCGGAGGGTTAGAGATAACATTCCTGGCATAGTTTAGCTGAACAGGACATGGTGGCCATTATTCCATACCCCAGCATGAGAGTGGACGGCTTGGGAGGCAGCACAAACCCACGTACGTCCTGTTGGGTAGAGGGTGCTGCTGAGTCTCTCGGGTGGTAAGCAGCTGATGAGTGGTGTTTTTGTCAAAGTGCTGAGGAAAATGGAGGTGGATTTTCTGAAATATTCAACCAGATTCTTAGAAGGAATTCATCTACCAATGGATGATTCTTGGTGATCTCAAGCTCTTCCTCTTTGGATACAGTTTATTTTTTTCAAAGACTCTACCTGATTTTGAGTTGAGTAAATGGAAAGAAATCCTAAAAGATCTCTTTAGGAAGAGGAGCTGTTCTGCTCCAAACACAGAGAAAAGATAACGAAATGGAAAGGCGTCTTCCTGGTATGACTGGTTGTCTTGTGTAGATGTGCTAAGATATTGCCTTCTACCCCATCACGTATTAAAAGTTAATCAAAACGAAAATAAAAAAGGACGGAGTCTTATAAGACGATTAAAGATGATTACAGTCTCTTGAGGGCTAAAAACATTCATTGAAAAAAATCATAAATCCCTTAGTGCACGAATGCATCTGCAAACAGGATTGTTTCTCGTAACTCTGTATCTACTGGGATTTGTGGGCACCAGAATTTTCTAATGGGTTAGCCTGAAGGTGGTTAACTCCATATGCATCTGCCTGCATCGCAGTGAGTGTTGCCTGCACAGAAGTTAAAAGGAAATAAGGAAGATGTTCTCCATCTGCCCTGAAAGGAGTGCTCATCGCCATTCCATCTGACTTCATTTTCATAGGCATTGTTTCCAAAAGGGTATTTTTTTAAAAGATATATTTATTTATTTGGAAGGCAGAATTACAGAGAGAGAGGGGGTGACAGACAGAAAGGGATCTTCCCTCTACTGGTTCACTTCCCAAATGGCTGCACCAGCTTCACCCAGGACTTCCACATGGGTGGCAGGGGCCCAAGGACTTGGGCCATCCTCTGCTGCTTTCCCAGGTGCACTAGCAGGGAGCTGGACCAGCAGTGGAGCAACCAACACTCAGACTGGCACCCATTTGGGATGCCAACATTGCAGGCATCAGTTTAACCCACTATGCCATAGTGCTAGTCCTTCAAACCCTTTCTTTCTTTTTTTTTTCCAAAAGAGTTTTAACCAAGGGAAGTTTGGTATGGAAAAAAATTTCCCATGTACTTCTACAGAATTTTCAGTACATATCTACACAGAAAATTTCCCTTTGAAAGAAACCATCCATAACAAAAACTAATGTGGCATAATTCACTGATTTGCTTATGTGTATTTAATTTTTCAGCCAGTACAGGGCAGTCGATTTTCATGACCTGTTTGTATTCAAAGCCCCTGGGGTGGGCATTTGGTACAGCAGTTAAGACTCTGTTTTGGTTGCCCACAGCCTGTATCTGAGTGCTTGGCTCTGCCCCTGATTCCAGCTTCCTACTAGTGTGCACGCTGGGAGGCAGCACATGATGGTTCAGGTGTTGGGGTCTCTGCTACCCACATGGTAGACCTGGATTGAGTTCCTGGTCCTGGCTTCACCCTGGCCCAGTCCTGGATATTGTTGGCATTTGGGCAGTGAACCAGAGGATGGGAGATCACTTTCTGTCTGTCTGTCTGTCTGTCGGGGAACTTGCCCTGGGGCCAGGAGTGGACACCCCAGTTTTGATCATGGGAGATGAGAGCCACTAGATAACCCGCTCCCAGGTGAACCTCACAGAGACGTGCCAGTTCACGTGGCTCCTTATGAGATGATTGTCTTGCACACTTGAATGTTCAGTTGTGCTTGATACTAAGTGTGGCCAACTCAGCAACGCACCCTGGTGTTCACTCTTTTCTTCCATGTCTTGTTCCGTGAGGCCTCGATTCCTGCTTCCTTGGGGCTACCAAGCGTAACCCAATTGTGGCACGTGAGCTCAGCTTTCCGGGGAGCTCAGGACAACTCTCTTCTCATTTGAATATAAACCCCAGGTGATCCCTTCTGATGGCCCAGTGTGTACACGGTGTAAGTGGATTCTGTCTTCAAAGAGTAGAGCATGGTATATTTTCAACAAGTAGCCCATGGGTTCTCCTGAGACACATGCTCAAAGAGTGCCTGCGAACACTCCTCTACATCTCAGGAGTTCCACCAAGTTTTGCTTTGGTTTGAACAACAGTGTTGTGTGTGTGTTTTTTTTTTTTTTTAAGAAAAGCATGATTTATTCAATTTGGAAACCTCCTGCCGAAGCGGCAAGGAGGAGGGTTCCACGTGAGGAAGACCCAAAGGGCTGGTCGTAGGAGGGTTTTTAAGCACAATCTCAGGGAAGAAACTGTCAATCAACCTCAGGTGGGGACAAACCCACCAGAAGACCTGATTTATATTAGATTTATTTTACCCTGTCCAGCTGAACAACACTTAATGTGTCAGAATTTATGTACCTGAACTTATTGGCAGTTCTACTTATTTACAAAACTGAAGTGCTCTGAGTAGCTAAATGTGAAAGAGATAGAACTGTCATTTTGAGGGTGAGGCTGAAAACCAACTTCATTCTCTGATTCCTTTTAACTTCCTTCCCCAACCCCCACCTTTGTTTGAGAGGTAGATAGACATACACACACACAGATAAACACACACACAGAGAGAGAGAGAGAGAGAGAGAGAGAGAGAGAGAGAGGCAGGCAGAGAGGCAGATTCTACTGGTTCACTCCTGAAAGGCTGGGGCTGGGCCAAGGCCAGAGCAGGAAATAGAAACTCAATCCAGGTTTCCCCACATGGATGGCAGGAGCCCAGTTCAAGGAGCCATCGTCACCTGCTGCCTCCCAGGGTCTGCATCAGCGGGAAGCTGGGGTCAGGAACTGGAGCTGGCATGGCAACCAGGCATTCTAAGGTGGGACACAGGCCAGATGCCCATCCTTCCCCTCCACCTTAGACAACTAGAACTGTCCAGGGTTGTCACATGACCTTGGCTCCATGACCTAAACTAGGTCACTAGATATTACATAGGTTTGGGATTGGCTTTGTTGGTACAAAGAGGTTAAACAGTTTATGTAATTGGAACGTATATGTGAAAAACTCTCCAGAACAAAATGAAAAAACGTTATCTCTTGGGGTAGGGAAATATGTCCAGTAGGATGGAGTTGGGAAGCACATATAATATACTAAAGGCAGAAATAGAAAATTGCATTCAGTTCTTTGAAAACAGAATAGAACTGAGACACTAGTGCTCTGAACTGACGTAGCCCAGGGGAGCTGTAAATTCTTGTTCCACCTTAGCTGGACTGGCCTCTTCCAGAAGCCAGGGAAGATGTGACCAAAACTGTTGTTTTGTTGGTTCAAGTCCTGGCCTAATTGGTCTGAGTCTCCTGTGTATACAAGAGGGCCAGTTGCTTTCAGAGTAAAGTTTGCCGTGAGCACGTGTGGCTTTGACTTGCCCAGCATTCTCCCCCACTTCCTAGGGAAACAGGACTTAGACTTTTCTTTGAGAAATCACCCCTCCCCCAACTCTCAGCCCAGAGTGTAGGTGTGACTGATTGTCCCTCTTTCCTCTCCCAGTTCTGGGATTTCAGAAGATCCGGCTCATTAGCATATCTTGCCTCCTCACTACAGTGATTGGCTTGGGAATGGACACATGGCTGAACTTGAACCAATGAGAATTAGGCCCATAATTTTCACTGACATTGTTAGAGAAAAGAAACTCTCTTTTCACTATACTTGGAGCTGCAGGGCTAAATTCTGGGGCTATGGGGGGCCTCTGTAAGATGGAAAGTTACGTGAATATGAAATCTACACGCAGAGAGGAGCTTCCCTGACAATTCAGGGGGCAGCCAGATCTAGCCATGCCTGAAGCTGTCGTACCCACATACCTTCCAGACATTAAAATCAGTAACTTCCATTATGCTCATCTTAGTCATGTCATCTTAGCGTCTCGCCACTAGTCACAGAAAGATTCTTAACAGTTCAGGGCGGTGAGGATTGTGAGTGGCGGTTAGTGTTTGAATATACGTCCCCTCAAACCCAAATGTTTGTTCCCCAGACTCTTGTGTAATTGGCACCCAAAGGGTGGAACCGCGATCCAGTTTTGGTGTGCAGGGGTGAGGGCTTGAGGAGGCGCCCGGATTAGATCGGGTTGTTTGGGTGCAGCTCCGACGACTGAATCCTGGTGGCTTTGTAAGCAACCATACAGACGGACAGACGGACGGACGGACATGAGCGTGCCCTGCCTCTCGCCCTGTGGTGCTCTGCACAGCCTCAGCACTCTGTCAGCGGGATGCCATCACAAGAGGCCAGACCAGTGGACCCACCAGATCGTGGGAGAGTGGACCACGACGCCAAATAAACCCATTTCCTTTAAAGGTTAGGGTGCCTCCGGCATCTCATTGCAGTGATGAAAAGCTGACTAATACGGTAGCAGATGTGTCATCCTAGTGAAAATTCTAGAACATTCTGATAGGAAGATGAATGAGTCCAGGCGCTGCAAAAACTCTGCCCCTTTTCCTCTTCCTCCTCTGTGGCCTCTTCCAAAGTGGTTGACCCCCCATCGACATTTCTCTTTAACTGCTCTCCATTCTCCCTACCCACCCGACTACATGTTTATTCCAGTGGGTGTTGAGGAAGTAAATGCGCTCCATCCCATGGCCCGCCCACTGGCAGCAGCTGAAGGGAGAGGGCCTGCAGCTCCACGCCTATTAAGAAGATTAAGATATTTCAAGAAAGAGACAGGAAAGTACATTCATTATAAGCTTTTTCTTTTTTTTCCTTTTTTAGAATTTAAGCTTATGAGTTTGTCTACGCCCACTATATTCATAATTACAATTTAATATCTGCATACAAAAGCTATGTAAAAATCCATTTTTCCCAAATATACAAATTTTCTTTTTTGGATAGTTTAAAACATTTTGATCACAGATGTCAACAGAGTTTTAGGCTGAAAAAAAATATTACCAATCTAGCAATATCACTTAACACTGTTTGCAAACCAGAAGTCTTCTGATGACTGTAGATCTTTTTCTAGTCTGTAGCATTTTTCTGATTCTCAGGGCATAAACACATTACGGAAAAAACAATGTTTTCTCAGAAGGAAGGATGGAGAACTGATTTGGCTCTAGGATCACACTAAAAATGCCAAATGAAAGGAAAACCGAAAGAAAGCAATGACATACCGTCAGTCAGCTCCTCTATGCCCTGACAGTTTCTGCTCAACAATACATGTGTCAAGTGTCTTCTTTTGTCTTACATTGTGCTCCAAAAATTACATGAGTAGTATCTGCACCCTGCGCAGGGCAGATTCATATTTGATTGTCTTGTGCATACGGTGGGTCAGCTTTAACTGTGCAACGGAAAGCCACAAATAGCATTTTACCTGCACGATATTGCTCTTGAAGGCGGCATTAATTAATGTGGAAACACACTAGAAATGCACTTTTTGCATTTGCAAACATTTATACAACACAGTAAAAATTCTGTCATAAGGCCAAACCTTTTTTTTTTCTCCCTATCTTTTTATTTTATTGTTGTGTGTGTGTGTGTGTGTGTGTGTGTGTTTAAAGATTAAAGTAAATTGTTTTCAATTGTAAAAAATACACACCGGGCAAATCCTTACCTGGATAATAAATATCTACATCACAGTACAATAAAATTTCTTCTCTATAAAATTTAAATATGGATTATAATCTATCACTATCAAAAGAAACACTATGCTACTATTTCCATATTATTAAAATAACAGGAAAAATTACGAGCTTATTTTAGAACCCGATGCCATCACCATTGGAAAGGGTGATGAGATCCAAATGTCTGTCATCATTCCCCTTGGGAAGAGGGACTGCGGCTGGGTTATTCTTCAACTCAGTTCATGAAAAAGGTTTAGCCTTACAAACGCTGGCTACATTTCAAAAACCATAAGACTGATTTCCTAATTGATGACTCATGCAGCAGGGTTGGTGTGACACCCACAGGTGACAGTTCCGGAGAGTAGAGCTGGGTTACTGACAACGACATGCTCTGAGGGTGCTCAGCGGTGCACAGAAGGGGAGTCTGGGGGCTTAGTGTTGTGGAGGGGCCAAGGCTTGTGCACCTGTTCACAGAGAAGCAACGCCAGGGCTGGCAGTCCACCCCGGCGGCTGCACCGCAGATGGAGGAGGTGTCACTTGGGGCACGAGTGAGGGGCATCGCTGGGCTGAGGCATCAACACGCCAAGCGCGCCATTGAGGACGGAGGCTCCTTTGACTAGAAAAAGCTCTGAGGTGGCACGTGGTGTTAGGAACAGCATCGTAAAGAAGGAAAGATCTTACTTGTTTGCATTATTTCAGGAAATACTGCACATTTAGATCGGAGAGCAAAGTACACTTGTGGGTTACAAACACATGCGCACACGCACACACACACACACAGCCCCATACCACGCACCCATAAAAGTGATTTCTAAGTAAGAATCCCAGCAGGACTGTGTTCTCCTCTACTGGAATGTCTCCCCAGTTGGAGCTGGGGGGAGAGGGGCAGGACAGGTGCCAAGGTTGCTGCAATGTCAGGTCCACATCTGGTTTGAAAGCCCCAGCAAAGTCAGAAAAATTTTTTTTTTTTTAAATTCAGAGCAAATCCCACACAATCAGGTTTTATGGGATGGGGACTTGAGATGCACTCGGGGCCTCAGTCTGTTCAGGAGGAACGAGGTCATTTTCACCATCAGAGTCGTGATTCTTTCAGTCCTTATAGCTTTTCCTTTCAACCTGAGGTACTCTAAGGCCCGTCCTACTCAGCATAAAGTGGCCAACCTTCGACAATACTTCCAGATCAGCAGTTTGCCTGTTGAAGGCATTCCAGGAGCTGAGATCCACCTGGGGCTGGCTGGATGACTGTCGCTTTAGGGCACCCTCTTAGCAGTTCCAGTCCTGGTGAGTCCCACAGCATTCTAATTCAGCGAGAGATCAGCTCCGAGCCGACGCTGGAGTCCAGGTCTGATGTACTGGGCCATCTCGGTCAGACAGGATGAGGAACCTTGCCTCAGAAAGCCTGTTGCCTCAGGAGTGGCTGAACCTGTCCAGGATGCCACCTGCTGTCCTTCCTCTCGTTCCCCAGGGAAGGAAGCTTTGCCCCACCCAGTGTTACCCCAGGCCTAGAGGCAGCTGGGTGTTTATCTCTGCAAGAGAGTTTGTTCTCCAAGTAGAGTCAACAGATGGAACTGAGATGGTAACAAAGCAAGGACTTGGGGGGACTGGCTAGAGGCTGCCTAGAAAAAACAAAACCCCCAAAGCTTGTCTTGTAGCTAAGGTCAAAGCAGGTCATCTGCCCATGAACTTCATGCTTGGAATTTTAATCTCTTCACTTATTTCCTTCCTCTGACGTGCAAGCTCCATAGCAATGTTCGGGTTTCCTTTTTCCCAGAAGCCAGTATCATTGTCTGCAGGCCGTAAACATGTCCGTCCCCTCCAGGTTACCTGCAACCGTACTTGGGATTCTTAATGGTGCTCCTCACCTTCCCCCAAGAGCATCTGCTTCCCTCCACATGGGGGAGCAGTTTTGTGTCAAGTTCGTTTTGAATCAATGCCAAATATATGTTCTTTAACTGTGAAGTGGGTCATACTTTTTTTCCTAATGAAGCTAGAAATTTGAATGTAAAAGAAATCATTAAAAGAGTCAGATTTCTCCCCCCCACCCCAAAATCCATACAATATTAACGGCAGGAAGGACTTCAGGACTCATGACTTAGTCCTTATTCCCCAGGTGAGAAAACCAAGATTTAAGGTCACAAATCTCCCATTTGGCAGGGCATGAACTAGAACCCTGATTTCTGGGCCAGTTATGCTCCACCAAACCTAGAAAAAGTCCACTTGGCTTTCCCAGTGACTTTCATTCCTTTGTTTTTAGGTCAATCACACCCATATGGCTTATTTTCCCCAATATTTCCAGGATAAGGCAGTAAAAGGCAGGCAGAGGAACCGTTTATCTCTACTGTGCCGGTGAAGAATGAGATACATTCAGTTGCATGGGTACATTTTTTGCCCTTTTTCTGACATTGAAGCAACGGTGTCACCACTTGGGGTCTGGGCACAAGCCACTCCAGCGTCAGTCACTGGGGAGGCAGGTGGGGCAGGGAAGGGGAGTGTGGGAGCGCCAGGTGTTCTCTGCAGGTGTTTCCTGTTGAATATCTGTCAGGGCGAGGCTGTGAGAGGGACGAGGGGAGGGGTCTGCAGCAGGACCGTCCTTGTTTAGAATTAGCTAGTCAGTGCCTCAGAATGGAGGGAAGAGGGGACTAGAAAACATTGATAAATAAGCAAAGAGCACAAGGATCTAAGGCCAGAAGGCAGCATCCTCAAGCTGTCGGGACCGGCAGGGGCTCTCGGAACACTGTTTTTCCACGGACTCAATGTAACAGCGCTAAGCTCTCCTCAGAATTCCTCCAGCTTGAAACTCAAACGGCAGCTTGCAACATTCCTTGATTTGATCCATAAGGAAGTCCGTGGCCAGCTCAGCAAGGATGCAGGCAGGATAGACAGCTCTGGAGCTCGGGAGACAACAGATCGGATGCCACTGGAGTGGTGACCCCGGAGAATAGACTGGATTTCTGTGGACATGTTCTCTGATCCTAACCTGTGACTAAGCCTTCCTCCTGGGAGGCAGTGCTACGTGCATTTTGGGGGACCGTTGAGTCATGGATGTTGGTGAAGATTTCTAATTTCTTTGGGCTCGCTGAAGACAAATGTCTTCCCTGTTGGCCTCAATCAGTCAAATAAATGAAATCCTAAGTTATAAAAATGATACTAAAAAGGCAGCTGATTTCCTGTACATTCCAAGTGATGCTTCCAGAGGAGAACAAAAGAGTGCTGGAAACAGGCATGCTCTCGGATGGATGGAGATCGGTTGTTTGAGTCTTTCCCTAGGAAGCTGAAAGCCACCCCTAACCAAAGGTGATCTGTGCTCGGCTAACTTAAGCCTTGCAAAATTCAGGATCGGATCACCACTGCCGTTCTCCTGGCTTTAAGGCTTCTGTAGTCTTTTGCAGTGCCATTTCGCTTGCCGGAGTCTCCGGCCAGGGACAGGTGGGAGCTGGTGATGGCTTGGTGCTGGTGAATTAATGATGGTCCCCACCCCACCTCCACAACTGTAATACCTTCAAAGCATTCACATCAAAGCACTGGAGAACAAAATGCCAATAGTTACAAGTACCCGCATTCAAGGGGCAATTTCATCCGTGTCTATGCCAAGGACTACCTCCCTTTACCCCCCCAAATCCTTCCCAACACAAAGAAACAAAGAAACAAACAGAAAAGAGCTAGGCATTGGAATGAAATGACACCCAGTAGTGCTGTGGGAATTATGAGAATAAATCCAGTCCTTAATCCTCGAACACTTCCAAGAACAAAGGGGGGAAGAGCTCCGTGGGGCATTCCACCTTCATGTGCAGGAAGCGGCTGGCATGGCAGGCGCCAATCATCCGCAGGTCTGTCACCTTCATCAGGAGTTTTGGCCAAAAGTGTGTCACATGGTGCTTTCGGTAATTGATATAGTGTTCAAAGGCCAACAGGAAGCTATCTTGGTATTTTTCTATTCTCTCAACACAGGCGAGCCCTGGGCGATCTGGGGGAAGAAAGAAGATGGATATTCATTCAGAGTGAAAGGAGGAGGCTTGCTTTGTCCAGTTCATGTCCTGTGGTGGCAGGTGGGCAGCTCTGGGACTCGTCAACTTCCAGGACGGGTGCGGATGGCAGTATGTGTGGACTTTGGTGTGCCAGGGTAGAGGGAATTATTTCTATGAAGGGGGTCAGTGCTCTGCTCAGCTAAATGTCTCTGGTTTAGAGCAATGGCCCCCTTGGGTGCAGAGGAGGTGGCTGCCATTGCTGCCCGGAAGACAGCAGAGGCCAAGGACAAGCATGCAGAGAAAGGGGGATGTGGGAAGCGACTGGGTCTCTGTCGGGGCTGGGGGCAAAGGAGCGACACTGGACTATGAGACACTCCCTGGAAGGCCAAGGAGCACAATAACCAACTGTGGGGAGCAACTCTGGACTAGACTAAGTTACTGGAATTAAGACTTATTCTATGCATCTGCTCTCCCACAATATGGGCTGCGAGAGGAGGAAACAGCTTCTACACAGCTGCCTCCAGTTCAACCAATAAACAGCAGGACCTGCTCCTGATTGGAGGAGAGCAGCGTACTCGGCATGTGGGTAGCAGAGTTGGGATTGGTGGAAGAGGACTATAAAGGAGGAGAGAGACAACATGCACCAGGAACATCTAAGGGGAACATCTATCTGAAGGAACACCTGTGCAGCCCCCGAGAGAGCCAGCCGGCGGTGTGCCGCTCCCCCGCGGAAGTGGGGAAAGTGGCTAGGGGGAACCGCCCTTCCACGGAGGTGGAAGGGATGGTAGCCAACCCGAGAAGAACCAGCAGCAAACCCGGGGAGGGCCGAGCAGACGAAAGAACAACTCAGGGTCCTGTGTCGTTCCTCCATGAAGAGGGGGAGCGACATAATGGTGCCGTGACTCGGATATGAAGCCTAGGCAGGTCTTAGTGTCGTTCCTCCATGAAGAAGGGGAGCGACAACCAACGGTGAGTTGTTTGCCAGGCCCCAGGGGTCCCTCCCTCCCTTCCTCTTGTGCTCGCAGTAAATTCTGCCCGCAGTGGCCATGTGTTGTTGGGGAATTAAAAGGAAAAAAAAAAAAAAGGGACATGAGCTGTGTTTGAGGAGCCCTGTATAGAGAAGGGAGGGGCTGCCGTGGGAAGACCACACAACACTGCAGAATCCTCCCAAGTGGCGGGAGGACCACTGGCTTCCCACAATATGTGGGGAGGAACACAAGTAATTAAAAAAAAAAGATAAGTAAAGGGATGGCAGAAAAAGGCTGGATGCATTCTCTTTGGTTTTTGCTCTTCGTAGCTCACATCAAAGAGTGCACTGTTCGTGGGTGCTGTTGTTGGGAAGCTAAATGGGGCTCTTCTTCAACTCCAAGGGCAAAGCAAACTATGTGAGTTTCGGGAACACTCTCTAGGGCTCAAATGGTAACTTGTGTTTTCTTTCCTATTTGATGCTGCGACTCTGTGGATCTCCTCACCCCCCTTCCCTCTCTCCTCTCTCCCTTTGGGTGTGTGAGAAGAGTTCTCCCCAGGATTCTTTCACTCTCCACCCATGTAGGAAGTCAACATAATAATGCATTGCCTGTATTCCTTCAATGGGAACGTAACAGCCGGGGATTTGCGCATCAGAACTCTGTCCTTTGATGAGAGATAAAGACAAGATGGTCACATAGATGACACAGAAAGAACTGACATTGTGATGAAGCTTACAACATGCTAAGCAGGTCTATGAAGACAGTCACATTTTAAAGACCAAAGACTGCTTTTAACTCCTTAAGACAAATTTCATCAAAGAAATGACTTTCAGGTCATTTCCACCTTCACTCTCTGCTCACCCCTTTAGGACTTAGCAGTAGTAGTGCTTGAAAAAGGCTTTGTAGGGAAGGATGATGCTATCGTGTCATTAAAGATGCCAAGTAAAGCATGGGGCTTAGAGGACGAGGCTGAGGAGGAACGAGGGACTCGGGTCTCTGAGCTTCAGTATCATTTGCCAAGCGAACACTACCTCGTAAGTGCACTCTGGTTCTGGCTGCATTAATGAAAAGGGTCTACATTACCTGGCTGGAAAAGATTTTAAAGTTATTAAGCACACCACATGGCTTTCAGGCAGTGGCAACCTTGTATAAGTTCCCAGAGAACCGGGAAGAATGGTTCAGCTGGGTGTTTGGCACTGCATTCACAATCCCACCATCTCCACATGCTTGCTTAGCTACCTGACTTAGAGTATTTATTTAATAATCTGTTAAATGGACTCACGACAGAGGAGATGGCATTTTGTTCAGTTATAAAAATCCATTAGCCATAACCAAAGAGGACCACACAAATGGATACATGGGAAACCTTAATTCAATTTCTGTTAAAGCTGCTTGCTGAAAATTCTATGCTTGAGACTGCTGTTTGTTCAACAGGGAGGTTAGCAGGTGTTAAAGACAGACTAGAACCATGCTGAATCTCTCCCACTGCCTTATTTAGGAGAAACCACTAGAAGGGAAATTGTAAAAGAAATGGCTTTCTCACTATGTCACTCAACCTTATTTAAATTTGTCTTTGAACCATTAAAATCTCAGCAGAAAAGTTACTTTGAGTCACCCAGGAATACAATTCCCATGGATGGAGCTCAATTTATTTTAAAGGTCACTGAAGCCCAAGGCAGTTGGGTCACACAGGGAGTCCTTGGACAAGCTGCAAGCTGTTTCTACAGAAGCCTGAGGCCTGGGCTTCTTGCTGGCTGTGGGACCAGCCTTGGGCTCGGGAGGCCTCTGCTGCGTCCCGTCCTGTGAACTTTCCTAACACTACTGCCTCCCTCATGAAGCCAGAGGAAGTCTGGTGGCAGGAGGGACTCTTACATTGTTGTATGGAATCACAGGGCAACATTGACTTTGCAGTATTCTAGATGTGAGAAGAAAACCACAGTTTCTATGCACAAGGAAGAGAAGGGATTACAGGAGCTACCCTAGAGTCTATAAGCCAGTGTACAGGGTGTTCATGATACTGTTCAATCAACTTGCATTTGAATTTCTCCATAGGTGCTGGCATTGTGGCATAGCAGGTAAAGCTGCCACCTGTAATGCTGGCATCCCATATAGGCACTGGTCATGTCCCTGCTGATCCATTTCTGATCCAGCTCCCTGCTAATGGCCTGAGAAAAGCAGAAGATGGCCAAAGTGTAAGAGCCTCTGCCACCCATGTGAGAGACCCGGATGAAACTCCTGGCTTTGGCCTAGTCCAGCTCTCGCTGTTGTAGCCATCTGCAGAGTGAACCAGTAGAGAGAAGATCTCTCTCCATGTCTCGCCTCCTCTCTCTGCAACTCTGACTTTCAAATAAATAAGTGTCTTTACAAAAAAGAGAAATTTTCCATAATAAAAAGAACATTTTCTGTTAAAAGGTCTATCATATCTAAATTTTCTGTTGCAAATAAATTTGCAAATTATGCTTAATTATTAACAATAATTATATAAATTATTTAGTTTCCTAAACAAAATTTGTCTAACTAGGAAGCACTGATTCTATAAAGAATTCTCAATGTACTTGACTGATATTTTGCTTAGCTATTCAGCCATTTATTCAATAAACATTTCTTGAATTCTAAACACTGGCCAGGTGCTAGGGGTACAATCAGACATACCCATGTCCTCCAACTGCTGGGAGGGAGGTCTAAATAAGTGAAGCAGATAGCTACACTGCAGGTGACAAGTGCTACAGGACAGCTACACTCGGGTTGCTCTGCAAACTCAAAGTGATTCTGAAACTACCGTCTGGTTAAAGACCGGCATCCCTCGCGCGATGCAATGTTTTATGTTTTGTTTGTTATGATGTAACCCCTGAGGAAAAATACGCCAGCAACACTGTCTGCCTTTCACAGGTGGGAGCTAGAGAGTGTGACCGTGAGTGAGCTGGGTTACAGATGGCAGCCGATCTTGCTGATTCTTCCCACCTCCAGGTGGACAGTCGAATGTGGGCCACACTAGGACTGCAGAATGTGGCTGAAGTTACGCTGTGTGCCTGGGCAACTCCTACTTTGCTCTGCTCAGAGACCTTCTTCTTGGCATCCGGCAGCCACAGCAGAAGTCTCCCTACCTTGCAGAAGGAAAAGTTGCATCGAGATGGCCTGATGCAGTGTTGGTTGTACCAGCCCCAACTCCAGAGTCCTGATGTTTTAAGCTACTGTGTTTGTGGTTGGTGTGCCATACAGCCACAGATAATGAAACTGAAGTTGGAGCTGAGCCATGGGCAATTCTGGCTGCCACGTGTGGTTTCCACACACGGAACTTAACACCAAAAGGTGTGGTCATGCACATCTGTGTAGTCACAAAATGCTAACAGACATGGAGGCCCACATACTACGGGGCAGCTTCAGTGGCGTCTGGGGGAGAGGGGTCATTTTAGGATCTTTAGAGTGGCTCCTCCAGTTTCCGTCTACTATCCTAGGGTGCAGCAAAAGGCATCAGACACCCGCCACGCCCCTCCATTTCTCAGTCCTCTGGGAATGCCCCAGTTTCTGGAAACCTGGGTGAAATGAATCAGCACCAGACAAGCCAAAGCTCCGATGCCCTGGCGTGGCACACGCGTGGGCACACTCACCTGAGGACATCAGCAGGACGGCTTGCAGGAGGGCTACTTCCGTGTCATCCAGGTTGAACGAAGACAGAGACATGCCCAGGTCAAAGATGGCGTCCGACACCACCCCGAGACCCCCGTTTTTCAGCTGGCCCCGCGTCACCGCCATTTCCCCGTTCAAGGTTAGAGTCTCGCTGTCCGGGTCGTAGCGCACAGCCGCGCGGAGGGACATGATCTCCATGCAGCAGCCCTTCAGGAGGATGATCTGGTCTTCGCATGGCAGCTGAAAAAAGCGGCGCGGTTAGCAGGAGCAGGAGCGGGCAGGTGCCCCGCGCAGCCCCGTCCGGGCGGTCACTCCCGCGAGCAGCACTGATCTCTGTTCTCGGAGCCTGCCATTTTCCCTCCCCTACATGGCTGCAGACCGCTTTTCATGTCCAAGAGGGTTGTAATCGTCACAGATCCTAATCTCAGTGGTTTGCATGTCTCTGTGCCAAATATAGACTCCAGCTTGCATTACAGGCATGTGGGAAACTGTGCTAATCACCCCTCGTCTGGAGGTTTGTGGTGCGACTCCCTGCGTGTTTTTGGTCTTGCAGCTCCAGGAGTTACCAGCTGACTCTACTGTTTTGCTGGCAACTGTGCATCTCTGATTTTGGAAGCTCCTTAAGTCAAAGAGCGCAGAACTAAAAGGTTGCTTACAGACGCACGCTACCTGGGAGGCCCAGAGACACAAGCTCTGCCCGAGGTCTCCCAGGGAGGGAAGGGCAGAGCTGGGATCAAATTCAGACCTTGGGCTCCTAAGGTTAGATTCTTCTCAGTACTTCAGACGCCAGACTACTCACACGCTGGAGTATGGCAATCTCAATATAAGCTTATTTGGTTATGCTGCCAATTAGTATTTGTGATAATCTGATAACATTAATCATGTACTTAAAAAAAAAACTTTGCTAAGTAAAATAATAAAAAATAGAAGTCTACTTTCTTGAAGGGAAGAGTGATTAAATGCCACTATCTGACTCATTTGAAAGGCTATTAGTGTGTGAGTATTTTTGATGAACTGGCGCCGTGCCAAAGTTTGCAGGCAATGCCTTGTTCAATCCTCACAAAGCAGCAAGATGGACATTCTAATTCCAATTTTATTTATAGATCTGAAGACCCAAATACTGAGGGGTGAATAACATCTGAGGGTCACAGGAATGCTTTGTGAATAAGGCTAGGATTTGAAACTAGAACTGTCAGAATCCAATACACGGAGAAGAAAAGAAACACTCTTTTGAAGTATCTCACATATCATTGTACCCATGAATAATGAACATATAAATTAGACCAAATATTTATCACCGCATTAAAGGAGTTACAGATTCTTTTTGGGAAATGCTCTTGATAACACCAAACTAGTTCAATTTATATTATTATGTAAAAGTACTACTACTGAAGTACATTAACATTATCCATCTATCTTATTTATTTAAAAGGCACAGAGAGGGAGAGAGGGAGATGGTTCCCATCTGCTAGTTCACTCCCCAAATGCTCACTACGGCTGGGATGGACCAGGAGCTCAGTCCAAGTCTCTCATGTGGGTGGCAGGGACCCAAGTATTTGAGCCATAACTGCTGACCTCTAGGGTCTGCATTAGCAGGAAGTTGGAATCAGAATCAGATCCGGGACTCGAACCCAGGCATTCGATATGGAACATGGGCGTGCAAAGCAGGGTCTTAACCACGGTGCAAATGCTCACCCCCGAATGGATGGCATTTCAAACACTGAGTGTTTCATATTTTTCACTAGCTCAGCGTCGTCACCTTACCATTTAATTTCAAACTGCTTAGCTTTTTCTACAGAGTACGAGTCATTTCATATTTGGTTCTAGAATCCATGCATATGAATGCTCTCCTTCCACCCATTTAAAAAGAAATCAGGGTGATTTGCTTTCCTTTAGGTTGATTCACATCCTCAATTACATCCTTGGATTCCTGGCCCAAGAGCATGATAGGAAAGAGCCAAGTCAAGCAGGGATAGTCTACAGGGAAAGTGGGGAACTGGCTGGAGAGGCCAAAGGCCAGCCCCCAGCCGAGGCCAGTGGTTCTGCATTTCAGTCCCACTTGGCTCACCGAGGGCTTGTCCGACAGCCTGCTGGCCTCTCCCTGGAGGTTCTGCACTTCTCCCAGTTCCCAGCAGCTCCTGCTACTGGTTTGTGGGCCCCATCTGACAACTACTGGCATAGAACAACAATGAGAGATAACTTACTGGATCAAATCTTTAAAAAAAATCTGTTACAGGGTAACAAGGCCTTAGGCCTAGTGGTTAAGACACTGCTTGGTTACCTGAATCCACTTCAGAGTGGCTCCAATCACTGCTCCTGACTCCAGTTTCCTGCTAATGCTCGCTGGGAGGCAGCAGTCATGGCTTAAGCAGTTGGGTGCCTGCCACCCACGTGCGAGACCTGTGTTGAGCCCCTGGCTTCCTGCTTTAGCCTGGTCCAGTCTAGGTTGTTGTGGGCATTTGGGGAAGTGAACTGGCAGGTGGGAGAGCTCTCTCTCTCTCTTTTTCTCTCTCTCTTTCTCTCTCTGTTTCTCAAATAAATAAACTAATTTTAAAAATCTGTCACAAATTATGGAAACCTGGGCAGGCCCCACTTTTGAAATCAAGTCTGGTTAGAGATAAAACAAAAGTTTTCTTCTTAAAACTGCTGATGATTAATTCAAATTTAAATAAAAGCTGAGTAAGTATTTGAAAAAAATCACCCAGGCTTTAAAAACTGGGCCAGAAGCCATTTCCTGTAAGTATGTAGGTTCCTGATGAGATCCGTTTCAACATGTGGGCAAGTCCCCTCTTAGGCATCTGCCCAAACGCTGTCACCGGGAGAACACGCCCGCAAAGGCCCGGCAGGCGGACGTGGGATCCTCCTACAGATAATCCCAGCGCCTTAGGAGAACATCACTCAAGCTGGTTGGCAAAGGTAACAGTACACCCCAGGAGCGGCTGTTGTGGGCTGTTTTGGCTGTGCTGCCAGCAATGACTTTGGGTCTTGGGAAGCCTCGGGTGTCACACTTACCTCATTGGGTGGGTTGGCACGGATCTTAGTGCAACAATGACCAGGAACGTAATTTGAGCAGCAAATGCAGCAGACTGCCTCTGGAAAGAGACTCTTGGGCTCTCCAGCCTGCTCCATAGGGAGCTCAGGGGCTACACCGTTCACTAGAGAGAGACCTTAGTAGTCCCCGGAGGCCACAGACACTGGAGAAGTATGCATCTCTGTTGTAAGAGTCACTGCCTCTCTCGCTCACTCTCTCTCTCTTTTTAATCAACTTGGAGACTACAGAAGAGCAGGACTGAAAGAGAGGTGGAGTCATGACAGTGAGGAAGGCTTAAATTTCTGGGGGAAACCTGAAGATTCGACAAATTTGCCACAACTCGTGCTTGCAGAGTTCCACTGTGACCCCTCCACGTTGCCCTGGGTGTTAGCAGACTCAGGGCGTTTGCTCCTAGGTGTGGAGATGGCTTCCTTTTCCTCTCCCTTTACTGGAAATCTCTCTTCAGTGGTTGGTTTATAGAAGGCTTACGTGTTACAGAAAAAAATCCTTATGGTGTTCACTCACAGAGCCATGTGACTGGTGGCTGGCTCAGGCTGCAGAGGGGGCAAGCTCAGTGGAACAGCTCTTCAGTCACCAAAGGCCAAGGGCTGGGGCCACAGCCAGGGAGGAGGACCAGAAAATGCCCAGGAACCCAATCACCCCACTGAACAAAAAGACAAGACTGTCACCCAGAGATGGCCCACATGAGAGCGTGCACACTCTCGGCCTCAAGGGCCATCTGAGCCTTAAGAGGGCCCTGCGTCTTGGTCCTTGTCTTCCATGTCTACCTGTGAGCGGTGGATCCACAAGAAACCAGGAACACTGGTCATCTTGATGGAGAACGGCTGAGGCTGAGGACCGTGTTGGGGAGAAACAAACCTTTCATGTTGCTAAATGTAGTATTTTCGTTCTGTTTGAATTGCTTTTTTTCATGTGTACATCTTAAAATATATGCAAACATAAAAGGGGGAAAATCCTGTATCTAGAATTTGTCCTTAAGCAGTAGTCATGTAAGTGGGGAATGTTACTGAAGCACTCACTGCAGCATATATATATTTTAAAGATTTATTTATCTGAAAGAGTGACAGGGAGAGACAGAGAGAAAAATCTTCTATTCTCTCATTCACTTCCAAAATGGCTGCAACAGGTCTGGGCCATGTGGCTAGCAGGTCTGGCCCATGCCGAAGCCAGGAGCCAGGAACCAGGAACTCTATCTAGTTCTCCTACACGGGTGGCAGGGCTCAAGCACTTGGGCCATCACCTGCTGCTTTCTCAGGTGCATCAGCAGGACGCTGGATTAGAAGCGGAGCAGCTGGGACTCGAACTAGCCCTCTGTATGGGGATGTTGAGATTCCAAACTGTAGCTTACCCCACTCCACCACAATGCTGCCATCCTGCGGCATATTATTAGGGAAAGACTGGAAATGAGATAGAGCTCCACGAAAAATAGATAACTTTAATTACAGTAGGTGCATTCTTTGGAATACTACGTGGTCATTGAGAATTTTGAGAAAGAATCCTTGAGTGATATGTCCTACCACTGAGGTAAAAAATGAAGCACAGGGGTGGTGTTTGGTACAGCAGTTCAGTCACTGCCTGAGATGTGTGCATCCCATGTCAGAGTCTCTGGATTCAAGGTTCAGTTCTGCCTCTACTCCAGCTTTCTGCTGAGATGCACTCCAGGAGGCAGCAGGTGATGGCTCAGGTCCTTGGGTGCCTGCCACACACGTGGGAGACCCGAATTTAAGTTTCAGGCTCCTGTCTTCGGCCTGGCTCAGCCCTGGCTCTTACGGGCATCTGGGGAGTGGACCAGTGGTGGAAGATCTTTTTCTCTCTCTCTCTGCCTTCCAGATAATTAATTAATTTTAAAGTGTCCATTTTGTATCTTGATCTCACTGCTGGGTAAATTCGCGAGTGGCACCCTTGTGGTATGTCTACCTGGCTCTTTAATAAAAAGCTAAAAAAGCAGTTCCATAGATAGGAGCACATTATGGTATAAAATGTATTTGTATCTATTTCACCTATCTGTGTGAGCGTCAGTGTGTCCATGTACACACAAATATTTGAAAATAGAAACAGGTTCCAAGATGTTAGCAGTATTATGGGCATTTTACCCTGAGCCATTGCCTGTATTAAGCTGTGTATATCTTGAACAAATAGGGACTCCGTATTGTCCTCCAAAATGTTAGTAAATGTTATTTTTTTAAAAACGGGTGTCAAAGGCAGGGAGGTTCCATGCCAGATGGAGATATAAGCAGAAATTCCTTCCCCGGGACAGGGTGAGTCCCGCAGAGACAGGGCGTGAGTGGTTCTCCTGTGGGGCTGTGGGTGCTAGCACATCCGGCACCCAAGGGGGAAAATCCCGTATCTAGAATCAAGGGGGAGGTGAGGAGGTCTTGAGAGCAAGGCCCTCATAGAACAGACCTGGAGGGCTCCCTTGTCCCGTCCACCACGTGAAGACACAGTGAGAAGACAGCTATCTATGACCCCGGAAGCTGGCCCTCCTGAGTCTGCTGGCTCCCTGATCTTGGCCATCAGCTTCCACAACTGTGAGAAGGACATTTCTGTGGCTTAGAAGCCACCCAGTCCATGGTATTTTTAGAAGCCTGAACAGACTGAGGCACTTGGGCGCCACAATGGCATAAGAGGGAGACGGTGCTGTCTCTCTTGCTCCATCCAAGGATCGGACACCGTGTCTGGAAGCCCGTTTTCCTGTCCTGACTGTGGCTGGCTATAGGCAAGGAGAAGCATCCCCACCAGTGTCTGATGTCTCTTAGCTGGGCTCCTGTGATTGCAAACCCAAAGGCACAAGGAGCCAGAAGCCAAGGCAGCGTGGAGTCATCCCAGGCAAGGAAATTCAACTCCTTTCTAAGTGAGACCAGGATCACTTATCAGGTGGCTGATCTAAGAGGCTCACAGCAGTGTGTGGCCCTGTTCTTCTGGGGCTCCTTGGAGGTGTGAACAACAATGGATTGGCACCTGATGCAGTGTTCAAATGGAAACATTCTCCAGAAAACATAACCAACCCATTTGATTCACCAAAGTTAGAGACGGAGGGGAAACACAACAGACAATATAACAGCAGTACCAGCAGCTAAAATTTATGGAACCCTTACTACAACCCAGGCACTGCCCAACCACTTGACCTGTGTTACCCCACTACGTGGTTCCAGCAGCAGCAAGGGGCAGGCAGTATTGTGATTCCGCCCCCCTCCTTTTTTTTTTTTTTACAGGCAGAGTAGACAGTGAGTGAGAGAGAGAGAGAGAGATAGAGAGAGAGAGAGAAAGGTCTTCCTTTGCTGTTGGTTCACCCTCCAATGGCCGCCACGGCCGGCGCACCGCACCTATCCGAAGGCAGGAGCCAGGAGCCAGGTGCTTCTCCTGGTCTCCCATGGGGTGCAGGGCCCGAGCACTTGGGCCATCCTCCACTGCACTCCCGGGCCACAGCAGAGAGCTGGCCTGGAAGAGGGGCAACCGGGACAGAATTTGGTGCCCCGACCGGGACTAGAACCCTGGGTGCTAGCGCCGCAGATGGAGGATTAGCCTATTGAGCTGCGGCGCCGACCCGTGATTCCCCTTTAACAGAGGAGATAACTGAGGTTTGAAGATGCGATGACTTGTTTAAGATTCCTGCTCACGCAGCTGCCTGCAGAGCCCATGCCCTGAGCCAGTGCATAGCAGGGATGCTAAAGGTAGGGGTGAAGTGTCCCAGGGGGAGGTCTGGGGGGCCTAGAGGGTGAGCTCTTTGTGGTGCCCTGCAGCTGGGACAAGGAAGACTGGGCTTCTAGGGGAGAGGGAAGATGTAAGGCGATACTAGGAGCCTTGCTCTGGGAGGGCCATTTCACTTATTCTTGAGGTTTAAGAAGCCACCACACAGTCATCTTGAAAGAATACAGATGCAGGTTCAAGGCATGGCACGGCCCAGGATACATTCCGTTCTCTGATCTTAATTTCCCATACCTGGGGGAGGGGGTTAATACGCGCTGTGCCACAGATCTGTAAGGACTGGATCCAATGTGGGCAAATTTGAACAGTGACTAGGATGCCCCTGGAACTGCACAACGGAAGCTGCTGCACTGATCACTTCCCGATGGGCCTCACGCGGATAAGGTAAGGAATGCAGCAGGAACAGAGAAGGCAGGGGAGGGTGAATGAAAGAGAATGCATTTGCATTTTTTACTGACGCTGCGTTCCCGTGACTAAGTCTCTGCTAATGAATAATACATCATAAATGATACCCAGCATTCCTGGAAATGAGCAGAGCCACAATGGGAAATAAAGCAGAAAGAAAAACTGTGTCCTTACCTCGCAAAACATAGGCAACTTTTTGGCAAAATCCACCACTCTGGTGATTGCTGGTGTGATGATTTTTGTAAAATGGCTGAAGGCTTCCAAGTCGACCTTTCCACCTTCCGGGGCGTTTACGATTGGTGCTTGTCCAATATCTTCCGGCTGAGGAGGAGAAACAAGGAGGCTCTGAATGGAGAAGCTGAAGGGTGCTTGATGCATTATGGATCTCATATGGCAGAAAATCTCTTCTGAATGGACGCCCAATTTTCACAGTGTTTGTTAGCAAACTGCACACTTTTCATGTTATTTTTTAAATTTTTTAAAAAATTTTTTGCCAGGCAGAGTTAGACAGTGAGAGAGAGAGAGACAGAGTAATAGCCAGTGAGAGACAGAGAGAAAGGTCTTCCTTCTGTTGGTTCACTCCCCTAATGGCCACTACGGCTGGTGCTGCGCCGATCCAAAGCCAGGAGCTGGGTACTTCCTCCCTGTCTCCCATGCAGGTGCAGGGCCCAAGCACTTGGGCCATCCTCCACTACAGCAGAGAGCTGGACTGGAAGAGGAGCAACCGGGACTAGTACCCGGCGCCCCAACCAGGACTAGAGCCCGGGGTGCCGGTGCCGCAGGTGGAGGATTAGTCAAGTGAGCTACGGCGCCGGCCTCATGTTGTTTATTTCTTTAAGCAAAGATACCTATCTTGGTCATGGCTTTAATAGGCTCCCAATGATACTGTTCACAAAATTGTTGGGGGGAGGGAGGGAGGGGAAAAAGGAAGGGGAGAAGGAGAGAGAGAGGAAGAGAGGGAGAGAGAGAGACAGAGAGAGAGAAGGAGGACAGGGATTTGAGGTCTGCCTCTGAAGACACCCATGCTGTACACTTAGGTCAGATGACATAAGTTCCAGGGCCTCTGGGTTGGCAATGGCAGAGCACTGTGCACTCTGGCATGTGTAGGAGGTGCTGTGGGTAGTGATGGGAGCATGCAATGGGTGAGACCTAGCAAACAGTGACCAATGAATTCATTCTTGCTTCAGACCCAGATTCTGGGGCTCAGAGTTCCTCTTTGCCCTACGGACTCAGTTTGGGGTGGTCTCAACTGAGGGCTGAGGAAAAAGATGTCCAGGAGCCTGAGGTGTGCAAACGTGGCAGCTCAATCTAGGGTGGCAGAGGGGCTAGTGCCCAATGTCCCCAGGGCATATCTCTGCCATTCACTTGCTCAGAAATGCCCCACGGTCTTGCCGCTCAACACTTGGTGCAATGGCTTGAGTATCACCTGGGGACACTCACAGGCCCTCCACCAGGTCTCCTGGTGCAGAATCAGCATTTTAGCCAGACACCCAGGCACCTGTGCAAATGAAAGTCTTGCCCATGTCCTCTGGAGCCAAATCAACCTTTTCTTGGCATAAAGTTAGTTTCATGGTGTTTCTTTGTAGTAGAAAGCTGCATTTCTAACACGCTCCTACAGATGCTGATGCTGCTGACCTGGCCCACGCTGCGAAGTCATGGCACTAGTGGGAACCAAAGCCCCCTGACAGCATCGGCCTTTTTTGGATTATCTAGCAGGTTCTTTTGCTTTTATTTTAGGTTATTGTTTGTTTTGGTGGCAATGAGTGGGTGAAACTTGGTTTCTGTCAGGTTTTCATAAAAAATGACAATGTTTTGGGGCAACTGTTGGCGTGCCAAGCCCAAGGAAGGTTCTGCTGGCTTTCTGGATGCAGATGGAGGAGGGAACAGTCCCATGTACAGCTTCCTCCTGCTGCCCTCCTTCTCATGGGGACTGAGCTGAGGGCAAATGTCTACCAGGTCCATCAGGGCCTCCTGGGAGCACTGCTGCTCCCCATATCCCGAATCCTTCAGCTCCTCCTGGCTGGTCTTCGTGACTGCTTCTCCCCTAAAGACGGGGCTCATCTCATCTACCTCGTCCACTTTGTAAGTCTGTTAGCAGGGTCCATCAATAAAAGGAATGTGTGTGCACATTCACAGAGGTAGGGAGTTTTACCTAAAGATTACATAAATATATAACATGTCAACCAGTCAATCTATATACATACGCTCTTCAACTTACAATGAGTTAACGTAAGTTGAAAATACTGCACATTAAACTCATGCAACACATCCAGTGTACATCACAGCCCAGCCCCACTGACCTTAAGTGCACTCAGAACACTGACAGTAGCCTACAGTTGGGCAAAATCATCTAACAATGTATTGGTTTATAATACAGCAATGAACAGCCCATGTAACTTATTGGACTTTATACTGAAAGTTTAAAAAACAGAATGGTTATGTGGGTACATTTTCACATCATCATAAAGATGAAAAATCACTGGAAGCTGGGGACTCTGTGTGTGTGTATATAAGGTTTTTTTCAAGAAATCAAAATGAAATAAAAAAATTATACTGACATGGTTTCAGCCTCATTGATTCCAACCACCTCATTAAATGTTGATAGCTCTAGTCTAATTATATTTAAAAGGCATCCAGAGTCCTTTGACATGGTGATGGCTAATGCTGATGTTCATAATTTCTGTTCCATCTATGTGTGCACAGAGTGTCTGAATGTCACCTGCCACCCCTTGAAAGATTTGAAAAAAGGAGGCAAATAACACAAGGGCACACAGCAATTCTAATTAAAATTATCCCACCAGAATGTAACTGCACGAGCTTTTCCTTTGAAAAATATATGTATACAAATGTTTCAAAAAGTCTGTAAGAAATGGAGTTGTGTAACTGGCACAAACATTTTGAAATCTATGCATAGTTTTTTTCATAATAGGTATTTTCATGAACTCTTTGAAGACCCCTTGCATGCACAGATTTCAAAACTTTTTGCAGCAAAATGAACTTATCTTTTAATTCCATTTTCCAAGGGTACTTTTTGAAGTACCCTTGGTATATCAGGGTGGAACAAACTTATTTTTAAGCCTTTGGGTATTTAATGACAAATACAATTGCTCAAAAAAAAAAAAACTATATACAAAGTAAAAGCAAATAATATACAAAATAAAAGCCTTATAGTATGTGTTAAGGTTTATCTCCATAATGGATCTTGGATACTAGGAAAACATGAGTATCTATCTATCTATCTATCTATAATATAAAAACTGTGCATTGACCTGAGTTAACATCAGGTGTGGGAAATCAAGGTTGAGTAATGCAACTATGCCCATGACTTTCCTGAAGATTCTTCACCTATAAGGACAACACATAATTTGACATCAGTTGAATCTGTTTGATGTCTTATTGCTCATAGCCTTGTAAACCACTACATGGAATACATTTGCTCATACCCACACATATGTATTTATGCACCTGAGACTAAGCTCAGATACTGAAGAAAAGGCTCTGGCATGCAGATTCACCAGTGTAGACATGTTGTGGAAAGGCTGTGGATCCAACAGCCTTAGCTTAATCACGAGTGAACGTCCAGCACTCATTCTGACTTCCTGCCTTTTTGCCTCATGGACCTACTGAGCCAGTCCAGCCACCTCTCCACGTCTCCCCCACAACTTGCCTTGAACTTTTCTATTTCAGTGTGGCCTTCTCTCTGGACTTGCCACTTTCTCCGAAGCAATCCCTTTATGTCCCTCATCTCTGCCCATTCCAAATCCCACCCATTCTTCAGGATCTAACTCAATGTCTATCTTCTCCCAGAGGTCTTTGTAGATGACCTCAGTTTGATATGCGGTCTACTTCACTTGAACACACATGCTCAATCATGTGTATTGCTCATATGGCCTTCAGGCATGTCTGACTATAACATCATTGTAGTTAGGCAGATAGACATCCAAGAAGTGAAAGGGTATGGAACAGGCCTTATGTGCCTTTGTTTCCCGCATACAAAGCCACATGGTGGAGAACAGAATGTTAGTTGGTTGAGTGAATGAATACATGTGTGTTGATACATTTACTCAACCAATGTCCACTGAGCAATTACTGTGGGCTAGACCTAGTTCTAGAAACTGAAGTTATGGCCATGAGCAAAGCATCCTCAAGGAACTTGCATTGTAGTGAGGAAGGACACACCGCTCATAAAAGAACTACATGCATGGAAGAGTTTCTTTTTGCGATAGGACTGGAGGTGACATGATAGGACGTGGGGGTCAGGAGATGGGGTGGGTAGCATAGAGTGGAGGAAGAACATTCAAGGGAGCAGGAAAAGACAGTGCAATTCCTCAGGGACAGAAGGAGGCCGATGTGGTTATAGCCACGCAACGGCGTGAGAAGAGGGAGGGAGGAGAGCAGGGTCCCTTCGTGCTGGGCTTTGTGGACCAGGGAGAGATGGAATGCTTCTAAATGCAATGTGGCACCAACTTAGGGGTTGCACACAGGAAAGGGGCATGGTGAGGTTCATGGTTATTGCATGAAGCAGGGATGTGGGGAGCCAGGGAGTGGGACTGTCAGGCAACAGTAGGCTGAAGTGGGCTGGGCGCAGGTGTGCAGTTATGATGGAAGAAGAAGGATTCAAAACATATTTTGAAGGCTGGAGATGGCCTGGATGTGGGATAAGTAAATCCTTTGGCATAGAGGAGACAGAGGGTACCGACAGAGACATTCTGGTGTGTGCAGGTGTGGGTGTCAGCCCTTGCTTAGCACTGGAGGTGGCTGGAGTTTTCACAAGTCTCAGCTAAGTGGCTTTCTGCTTTGACTGCTTCATCAGTATTACTCAGCGTGAGTAGGAAATGCTGCCAGTTGACGCCTCTCCAGAGGCTGGCTCAGAGCCAGGGACTTCTAATGCAGCGCTTGGGCACACGCAGCGGGGTGGGGTCAGACAGGACACTTCCCTTCTGCTTGTTCACAAAGTGTCTCCTTGCACCTGTGCAAAGCTGGGCAGGAGGCTCCAGGCTGATGGTGATTTAAGAGCCCAGAGACTTGGGACAAGACTACAGGTTCACTGTTTTCCAGGGAGGAGGAGGGATGAGATGGTGAAGGCGGTGATGGTAGGAAAGATGCATGTAGCATTGTTGTTAATGATATGCCAAAAAATGTTAGATTTCTGGTATCTGTTGCTTTTATGCCACCTGGGAACCACAAAGAACTGAATCTTCGAGGGGTGAATTAACTTGCCCCACGTCACATAATTAAAAAGGAACAGAGGCAAGCCTTGAACCCAGGCTGTCTAGTTCCAATCTCCATCACATAACTACTCCACTACTCTGTCTTCTTCAGATGCCGCTGTAATAATTTGGGGGTGTCAGATGCATTGCTGACTTGATGGCCTTTGTCTTATGGCCTGTCCACATGGACCACACATTGCCAACTCACCTACCCTGCCTGAACCTTCTGTTATGCCCCTTCTTTGAGACTACCCAACCGTGAGTGTGTGAAATCAGAGAGTGGGGCTCTGCTGGGGAAAAGCAAGGTTGCATTTTAGCCTCGGGTAGAAAGTCCATCCAAAGCCATACCTTTGCGTGGAACCAAGGAAGAAAAATAATGCTACAGTGCCAACAGACAAAACCATTGCTAGTATGGGGTTTATGTTAAAGCGATCCCATGCTGCCCTGGCGGTATGGAAACAAGTTACCCTGGGTGGGGGAAATTTGGCATCAGGTGCTACTTGTTCCCTTCATCACCATGTCATTGTTGCTGGTGAAACTGGGCATTTTTGAAGCCACAGAGATTTGAGTGGATTAGAGAAAATTATACGATTTCAATGCTTTTGGAAGATGTCTTAAAGAGTGGCTTTAGATTTACATGAAAATCTACACAGCTTTTGCAGGAGTTCCTCATTTGCCACAGACTCTAATTTTCTCAAAACCCAAACACAGATTTGAAACGCAAGTCAACCCACCAGTCTCTGTTTCTAACTTGAGTCCTGGTGTTGGGGTGAGAGACGAAATACTTCCTCTGGGGAGTAAGCCACCTACCCATTCCTGATAAATGTTTTCACGACAAGATGCCATTGCAAAGACATTTTTGTTTTTAAATTTGAGAGGGAGAGAGAGAGAGAATGAACGAGTTACCACTTACTGGCTCACTGCCCAAATACCCACCATGGCAAGAACTTGCCAGGCTGAAGGTAGTAACCAGGAACTTAATCCACATCTCCCACTTGGGTGGCAGGAACCCTATTACTTGAGCCATCATTGTTGCTTACCAGGGTCTGCAATAGCAGGAAGTTGAAATCAGGAGCAAGAGCCTGGTATCAAACCCACGTACTCAATATGGGACACTTGCATCTTAACTGCTAGGCTAAATGCTCACCCCTAATTTTTAATTCCATATTACTTTAATTTTAATACCATACTATTATTAACATAATACACCTTCTCAAGTTATTTTCAGAACAAAGTGGGACATTGACACATAAAAAAATAAATGAAATAATATACACAACACTGTTGCAAACACAACGAAAGGGTACCAGCCACACACAGGAGATGCAAATCCTAGGACATAACAGATTGTTCAGCCATGGCTACCTTCCAGACATGAATATCATTTCGTAAGTCTGTCTTCAAGCAAGGGTTCTCAATGTTCTTGCGGGAGTAATTCACTACTCAGAAGAGTGACATTTTCACTCCGAGCATAAATACTCAGTGGGAGTCTCATGTGTAAATATGGAAACTGGCAGGCACACAGGGCTTAACTGTACTTTCCCCAAGGATGGGCCTGTGGAACTGCATGCTCAGTTTAACAAGGACTGCGTTCTCTTCTGCTTCCCTATTGCTTTGTAACAAACTGCCCTCAAACTGTGGCTTAAAGCAACAACTTTGACCTCCCACAGTCCTGGGGACCGACACACAGCTGGGGAGTTCCTTCTTGGGGTCTCTCCCACAGGGGCTGTCCCAGGGCCTAGAGGGCTGGTGTTGTAGGAAGACTTCTGCACGCACACTTCTGGGGCTGGGGCTGGTTGGGACTCTCTTTCCTCGTGGTCTCCACTGGCCTGCTTGGGCTTCCTCACAGCATGGTGGTCTCGGAGGAGTTTGACTTTTTACATAGCAGATACAGCAGGTGAATTTCCTCTCTAAAAGAACCAAGTGGGAGCTGCCAGGTTTCTAAAGACACAGGCTTGGAAGGCACTCAGGCATCCCTCCTGCCCCAATCCCAGCCAGTCCAGACCCAGAGGGAAAGAGAAATCGATTCCACCCCTCGATGGACGGAATGCATCCAGTAGGGGAGAGAATGGGACAGCTGCTGTCTCAGAGAAGCCATGGCCTGTCTCAGTCACACACAGGAGAGATCATGAAGTGTCAGTTTTCGGTGAAATACGGTCCTTACCCTTGGGAGAGGCAGGGGTGATCCCAGGCACAGAGGGGGTTGGCTGGTGGGAATAAAGCTCACTGTAGACACAGAAGGAGTAGTGGAGTGCTCTGATCTCCTCACCCTTCTAAACAGGACTTGGAGAAGGAGTCATTTCTATCTGGACCAAGAGGGATGGTGTTTATACGCTGACCAGACCAAGAATGTCAAAAGACACAGGTCAGCTCCACAGGGGAGGGCAGATTGGCGGGTCAAACAATTGTTCTGGACGTGTCAGCTTCCTGAAGCACACCTCTGTGCGTGGACAGTCTCATGGACCTCACAGAGAAAGGAACGGTTGGCCACTCTGTGCCAGACCTCCTGGGTTGTTCCTCTAGGTGATCAGAATGATGCAAACGAGTAGGAGCCTTTAAGTTAAAAGACAGACCTTCAGGCTCATTCTAGTGCCTAGGTGTGCTGCTATCTTTGCCAAAGAGACTGCAATCATGAGGAGATTCGATTACATTTGCCGCATAGTGTTGGTTTCTCTGCTCAGAGGCCTCTCCTGACCACCCTGCTCAGAGATATGAGGTCTCTCCCAACTTCTGTTCACCTTGCAGCTGGCCAGGGTGGTGGGCAGGTGCATGTACCCCGGAGCTGGCTGCACTCAGCACCACCACGTCCTCGCTGTGGGAGCTCAGCCAGGTCTCCTTAACTTCGCTGCCTCAGTTCTCTCTTCTGTAAAATGGAGCCATTAACTCCCATCTGCCTACAGAGTTGTAGAGGGAGTCAGTGTGTACAAAGCTCTTGGAAGGGTACCTGGCATGTGAGGCCATCTGAGTTTGCTAACTTTGCTCTGGGTCGGAGCCATCAATAAAGTGCTGGCATTTTTAGTTTTTTTAGGACAATGAAGGTAACTGTTTCAGAGCCGGTTGAATACAAGGAAGCTCATCCTTTTCAAAACTCTCCTTTAAAGTTGTTATTATACTATCTTAACAACAATACAAAAAGACTGATTTATCACGTGGATGTTGTGGTGCGAGGATGCCTGTGTTGCTGTACCTTCTTGTTCAGAAGGGGTGCTACTCTAACGTGCCCTGGGGATACAGACAGATCTGGACCACTTGATGCCCATGGTCAGTGGGGGGACTCAGAAAGGGCTTCATATCACCAACTAAGAGTAGGTCAGTGTTTCAGATGTCAGACCCCAGTGGGTGAGCAGTCCTTCTAACGAGGAGGGTGCCCAGCCTGGACTTGCAGCAAGAAGACCTGAGCTGGCCTTTGGCTAAGCCATTTTTTATCATTGTGATCTTGGGCAAGGAACTTTAGGCCTTTGGCTTGGTTTGTGTACCAGTGAAATGGGGATAACAATTCTAGCCTCACTCAAGATGCTAGGAAGCCCAAATGAGGAATGGGAAAGCTGATGGCTTTCATTAAATGTTGATATTCCAAGGGTCAGAAAGGGCCTGTTGGGGCTGGCGCTGTGACGTAGAGGGTAAAGCCGATGCCTGAAGTGCCGGTATCCCATGTGGGTGCTGGTTCTGGTCCCGGCTGCTCCTCTTCCAATGCAGCTCTCTGCTATGGCCTGGGAAAGCGGTGGAAAATGGCCCAAGTCCTTGGGCCCCTGTACCCACATGGGAGACCCGGAAGAAGCTCCTGGCTCCTGGCTTCAGATTGGCACAGGTTCAGCCATTGCAGCCAGCTGTGGAGTGAACTGGTGGATGGAAGATCTCTCTCTCTCTCTCTCTTTTTCTTTGTCTCTCTCTGCCTCTCCTTCTCTGTGTAACTCTGACTTTCAAGTAAACAAATAAATCTTAAAAAAAAAAAAAAAAGGAAGGGCCTGTTTTCTGTGTACACCATCCTCTGCCCATTCTGCTTCCAATTCCCATTGTCTTTCTAGACTTAAGCTCATTTAAGTTAAATGCTTTGACTTCTACTGATAGAAAAATACATTTGAGCATTTTTGGGATGCTGTATTCTAGAGGTTGTTTTAAGTGGGATATTGTGGAATCCGCCTGGGGACAGCCTCTTACTGTCATCCAGCACCACTGGGAGGGGAGACAGCACCCACAGCTGGCACAGGGCTTACCAGAAATTTCCGTTTCTGCTTCCAGTGGCTGCCTTGGGCATTGGTGGCCACGTGGGCTTCGGTGACAGTTTTGATGAGGTCCCATTCCTCATCGGTGGGCTCCGGCTTGTGCCCGATGGACTTCTGCAGCTCCTCCCGCCGCCTCTTCTCCCGGTTCTCCTCTATCAGCTTCCTCTTGGCCAGCCTCTTACTGTCATCCAGTACCACTGGGCGGGGAAGACAAGATGAGACCCAGGGCTGACTGTGTGTCCCGAGAGCCCCAGGGGAGGGCCACCCACCCTCAGAGGGGGTGGATCCTAGGGGCCATTTTCTTCCCTTGGTAGCAAACTGCCATTGGCTAGCCACTATCCCACGTGAGACTCTATCAACCTCCCACTGCTCAGCCAGTTTTCAGAACAAAGCCTCAAGGGCTTTGGACACTGGGCATCCCAGCTCCATGGAGGGTGGTCCTAAAAAGGAGGGGAGCAGAGGGGGTAAAACCTGTGTCCCCACAGGATGCCAGCTACACCTGTCTAGCCCATCCTCTGGGTTCACTCTCAGGGTTAATGTCCCCACCCCTCCTCCAACATGGCTTTCAGTAGGGGGCACTTCAGGAAAGTTCTAGAGTGATAAGTGGGAAGGAAGCTCAAGACCCCTCCCCAGAGGGGAGCCAACTCTGCATGGCTCCCTTAAGTGATAATCAGAATGTGACTGGGCCGATCTTCTATCACTTTCTACGTCAACCCTCTAAGGTGGCAAAAGAGCCCAGGCTTTGGAATCTAGAGAGACTTGGGTTTGAATCCTGACACTACCACATTCTAGCTGTGTGACCTCTGGCAAGTTACTCAGGCTCTCTGGGCTTTCATTTCTTCCTGCATGAAATGGGGTGTTTATACCCATTTCACAGGGTGTTCAGTGCAAGAAGGCACTATTGGTGCTCAGGAAATGCAGTCACAACCTTTACGATTTATGCAAAAGGGACTTAGGGGCAGTCGCCAGACACCTGTGATTCTGTGGAGAATTTGTGAAGCTCAACAGTTGCACTGGACTCCTAGTGCCTCCCAGTGAAATGGCAAGGCTCAGTTCTCCACTGAAGAATCACGGTATTTAGGAACTGGAAGGGACCTTAGATTCAATCTGGTGCAACTTCCTCCATTCGCGGAGGAGGAAAGTGATCCAGAGAGGTCGTGACTTGCCTAACGTCACACAGCAAGTTCGTGGCAGAGCCAAGGCAAGGCCCAGGACTCCTGACTCCAGTTCTACATCATTGTCCTAGGGCCATTTCTTGACGACCTGGTAGGAAAAGAAAAAAAGCAGATGTAGCAGGAGGAAGAGAGCCAAGGTACCCAGCTAGACTGCAACCAGAATCGCTACAGAACCCATGATGATCACGTAGCTATGACTGGATGGTCAAAGTGACACGAGCATTTACAGAAGTGGAAATGGTGCAAGCGGCCCATGACGTCATACTTGGGTCCCTTACTACAGGGACAGGAAGGACGGGAACAGTCCCTAGAGCCGTGCTCACCAACGCCAGGGGTCGTTGCATTTGACAGGTATTACCTAATTTAATCCCGCAACTAACTGACGTCACAGAAGGGGAACTTGAGACTTCATTCTGGAGGTCACAAAGCTAGCAAGTGGCATCTGTGGGACTCAAACCGAAGCTTCTCTGATGAGCCTGAGCTCTCTCAATGCCTCCCAAGCGGGGAAGGGGCCCTCCGCCTAGATTAACTGAGTTTTAGCCTCATAAACGCTCCTATCTGAAACCTCTCGCTAGGACCATGAAATGGATGCTTCCGGGTAACTGCTCATCGCAAGCATCACTCTCAGCGCTTGGTTCTCGGTCCATCACACCTGCTGTCCTGACCAGACACACTGTTGGCAGCCCTCCGCCTTTCTGAAGATTCCTGACTTCATCTTCTTTCATGGGAAAACCAGCACATTCCACAGATTTTTTTTCTTCCCTGCTACTGGTATTTCTCACATAAAAGTAAGCAAGGACAATTTCCTCTTGCATCTGGAAAAGTCCTATTTGCATTTTCTTTTTTGTTATTGTTGTTTTTCCTCTCTTTTTTTTCCTTCTCTTTCTTTGTCCTTTTCTTCTTCATTTGTAACTACCAGTTGAAATCCCTCCCTGAGAGGTTAAAAGTGTCTGAAGTAGAAACCATTAACATGAGTGCCCGCCAAAGGGAGGCTCAGGATTCTGAATGACGTGCTCCTTAGTTTTGTGATTAATTAAAGTGACTGGGGAAAATCCCTCGCACAGAGTGGGCAGCGGAGACCCCGAGGGCTAATCTCAGCACCATATGCCGTGGCACTCTGAAAATGACGTGGGACCACTTCATAGAATGGCTCTATGGCTAAAAATAGGGCAGAGAGCAGAAGGTGGGCTGACTCATGCCATAGCATTCGACTTCGGACTCTTTACACATTTGGATACTCTCTGTTTTCTGCCAGTGCCTCATCGCCCCAAATGTCCAGAAAATAAATTCCTGCTTTTGAAAAATTCTGGAGACTAGTCCTTAAGACTTCCAGCAGGTGAATAGGGGCAATTTAGCCACGCCCACTGCCCACTGCCCACCATCTGGCTACTTGGGGAGTGAGGAGTTGACCAGAGAGGGGTAGGATGGAAGCCTCCTGCAGCAGCCCGGGTGTCGGGGGATAAGGGGTGTGCAGGAAAGCAAGGCGTTCCCCTCTCTTTCCTTTCTGCCTGGTTGATTTCCTGGAAGCAAACCCTTTCCCAATCAACACTCCTTGAGTATGAAGCAAATGAAGTTCTACTTACAATCTGTTGCCATGCCAACATATATGCATTTCTTAAAGCGACATTCCTGGCACTGATTTCGCGTGACTTTGTCTATGACACATTTTCCTTCATATTTACAGGAATAGGATGGATGGAGATTTTTCTGAATGGTTCTTCTAAAGAAACCCTACACAAAAAAGAAAGACCCAAGACAACAATTTCATATTTTCTAAGAAGAAGTGATTTTGGCATTTAGTGTCCACATAGCTGAGCTGCATTGTTTTAAATCTTAACCTTTTTGGAGCACTTGTCTACAGCACAATGGGCCCCAAAGACATCCAAAGAAATCTACATCTGGGCAGAAGGAGAGGCCATAGCCCCCAGAGTCAACATCGTTTGGCTTTTATTCAAGGGAAAGAAGCCAACAGGAGAGGTTAATGCTTGCTTTTAGCTTTTCTGAACACTGACTAATACAAATAAGTGACTTTATCTCATTGGGTGTCATCTACATCAGTCTATGAAGAGCTTTGCTACTTTATCTTGGGAGATAAAAGAAGTGGATACATGTGATATTTAGTAATTTGATCCTTTAGTAATTAGAGGCAAGAATGACCTTTATTATTATTATTTTTTGAAGGCTGATTTATTTGAAAGTCAGAGTAATAGACAGAGAAAAGGACAGGGTGGTGGGGAGTGGGGAAGCTCTTCTATCTGCTGGTTCACTCCCCAAATAGCAGCAACAGCCAGGGCTGGGCTAGGCCAAAGCAAGAGCCAGGAACTCCACCCAGGTCTCCCAATAATGGCCCTTAGAGCCTTAGTTTAATTATTTTTTAAAATAAAATGCTTATTAATATTTATTTGTTTGAAAGGTGCAGCAACAGAAGGAGGGAGAGAGGGAGAGCAAGGGAGATACAAGAGTGATCTTTCATCTACTGGTTCATTCCCCAAATGTCTTCAACAGCCAGAGCTGGCCTAGGCTGGAGGCAGGAGCCAGGAACTCCATCCAGGTCTCCTGCATGGTGGCAGGAACCTAAGCACTTGGGCCATCATCGGCTGCCTCCCAGGTACGTTAGCTGGAAGCTGAATCAGAAGTAGAGGCTGGACTCAACTCCAAGCATTCGGATACGGGATGCAGGTGGTTCATTCTGTGCTACAACGCCCGCCCCTAATTCTTGCTTTCTGTCTCTTGAGAGTCAGCTCACATATCCATTCAAACAATACTTAGGGAGTGGAAAGTTTCAGGTTTTCTATCATATCCCCCCCAACCCCGACTCAAGGACAATAGGTTTTTTCCTTTCATAACACTCATTTTCTACAGTATCTGCAGGCACACAGCCATAATTTCAGTGTATCTCTTCCTTTCTCAAGAGACTGGAGAGTGGCACGGTCACAGTTTGTGTCTAGGTCTCTCAAGAGTGTGCTACGCTAGAACCTGTCTGGATATGAGCCTCACATCTTGGCAGCTGGACTTTGTGGTGAGAATTCATTGCAAAGTGCTGAATGCAAAGGTGCATTCCACATGGTTCTGTCTTCCCCACAACCCTATGCGGGAGCTACTCTTACTGTCTAAATTGCAGGGAATTAAAAAACAGAGCCTCAGCCAGGTTAAATCTCAGGGCCCAAGTCACATGGATGCTGGAACCTGGCCTGCAACTCAGGAGTTGTACTCCTAATCCTACTGGTTCAACTGTTTCTGTGCTGTAAGGTAAGCAAATTTTATTATACTACATAAACGTTTAAATGAAGGGATTATGTCAAGAATCCCTTCCCATCCCCACTTCAAAAACACTAGGTTTTATTTGTTTTGGTAGAACAGTGAAGCAAAACAGGTTTTGAAAGATGTTCTCTGTTGAAGCTGAAGGGGGGCCTCTCTGTTAGACAAATGGTGGGACTGAAATGCTGTAGACCTGGATTCACAGCCTACATTTTTATTTCTATTTATTGTTTTCAAGATTTTTATTTATTTATTTGACAGATAGAGTTACAGACAGTGAGAGAGAGAGACAGAGAGAAAGGTCTTCCTTCCATTGGTTCACCCCCAGAAGGCTGCTAAGGCCAGCGTGCTGTGCCGATCCAAAACCAGGAGCCAGGTGCTTCCTCCTGGTCTCCCATGCAGGTGCAGGGCCCAAGCACTTGGACCATCCTCCACTGCCTTCCTGGGCCACAGCAGAGAGCTGGACTGGAAGAGGAGCAACCGGGACTAGAACCTGGTGTCCATGTGGGATGCCGGCACCGCAGGCGGAGGATTAACCTAGTGCGCCACTGTGCTGGCCCCTACAGCCTACATTTTTTTTTTTTTTTTTTGACAGGCAGAGTGGATAGAGAGAGACAGACAGAGAGAAAGGTCTTCCTTTTGCCGTTGGTTCACCCTCCAATGGCCGCCGCGGCCGGCGCGCTGCGGCCGGCGCACCGCGCTGATCCGATGGCAGGAGCCAGGAGCCAGGTGCTTTTCCTGGTCTCCCATGGGGTGCAGGGCCCAAGCACCTGGGCCATCCTCCACTGCACTCCCTGGCCACAGCAGAGGGCTGGCCTGGAAGAGGGGCAACCAGGACAGAATCCGGCGCCCCGACTGGGACTAGAACCTGGTGTGCCGGCGCCACTAGGCGGAGGATTAGCCTAGTGAGCCGCGGCGCCGGCCCCAGCCTACATTTTTAATCATCCGGTTTCATTTTCCTTTGGTTTGACTATGTGCATATACCCACTGGCATAGTCCTTGCTAAGACACAAAAGCTCTTTCCTATAATGAAAAGGTCCAAAGTAGGATTTCATACTTTGCAAAGCAGAACAACATGGACAGATACCAGGAATAACTGAGAATCACGGGCTTCATTTTGGGGCATAGATGCAAACCCCTTATCGTTTCCGTTGTTCAAGTTCTAACAGGAAAACTATCATGTTATATTTGGGTTTTTCGTCCTTGAACACTTGAGTCGATTGCTTTGAGTGATGGGGATGCACTGGGCGGGACTCACGCACTTGCACCCAGGGCAGCCGTCTGGGGTGCTAGCAGTGACCCCCTGGGTGTTGGACGGCACATTCTGCCATAGCCTGACTGCCACAGAGTGAAAAACAAGTTCTCCTGCGAACCTGCCTCCTCTACTTCTGTTACCTTATCCCAAAGATAGGGAGAGAAACTGAGAGACTGCTGGCGAGGGGATGGACGTCACAGTGGGGAGAGGACCCAGGCAGCAAACCTCCTTCTGGGGAGACACCAATCCCCAGAGGTGGAGAGGCTGAAGTCCAAGGCATCTGGTGAGAGTGGCCACTGTACTGTAGGGGCGGGGAACCGTGCTCTTTCTGATGCAGGAGCGACCCCTTTCTTCCTGGGTCCCTGAGGCTGACTTGGGCTCCAGCATTGGCGGCCGTGGTGGTGGTGGTGGGTGGGAAGGGGGATCGCAGGACGTGTTGAAGAGCAGACAGCATAAGGAGAGGATGGGGTGTGATATGCCGGACACAAAGGCTACTCTGTGTACCTTTTAATGGCATGAATGAAATAATTAATGTTTGGCTTATTTTGCAGAAAGAGTTGATGTGGCTCACTCAACTGTTCATTGCATCACCTTTCCCAAGTCCTATGATGCTCCTTGGACACTTCAGGGACAAATCCCTTGTGAGATGCTGGCCACTCTTGAGCTATAATAAAGAATATTTTTGACGTTTGATGAAGGACTCTTCAATTTGAATAAAGGTCCTTTAGTTTTGAAAGGTGACAAAAATGAACTCCTGGAAGTGAACTTGATTGGAAGGTGTTTGAAACAGTCTACTTTAGGGTGGGTGTCCAGCTTAGCGGGTAAGAGGACTACATGCTATACTGCAGGGCCTGGTAATACATTGGCTCTGGCTCCTGACTCCAGCTTCCTGCTAATGCACAGCCTGGGAGGCAGTAGGTGATGGCTCAAGTAACTGGGTCCCTGCCACCCACATGGGAGACCTGGAATTCCTGGGTCCCGGGTTCATCCTCAAAGTGTGGGCATGTGGGGAGTGAAGTTGCAGATGGGTTATCTCTCTGTCTCTCAAAAAATCAAAATAGTCTGCTAAGAAAAACCCTTTTAGAAGTGAGTTGACAAGAGGAAGGTAGCAGGGAATAAACAAGGCTGTATGTTTCATCAATGAGTTGATGAGTGGGGGTCTTGACATCAACATCAGACTCGCTTTTCAGCCTTCTGAGAACACAGGATCTGGTCCTTTGTGGTTCAAGGTGAGGCACTACAGTGGGACAAATGTCACTTCCCAGTCCTGTGTTTGGGCCGCTGTTACAGAGATTGTCTATCGTGGGGCAGTGGCAACGCTCTTCCTATAAAAGATGCACAAAAGCTGGTGCATCACAACGGAGAAGACATTTCCGGAAGATTCTGCCCCAGCACACTGTAAGGATGGGGTAGAAGATTTCCAAGTTACAAGTCCATAAACAGAACTAGGAAGCATATCCTTTTTCATCTTTTGCCGCTAATGGTTTCACTTGGGAGACTCCTTCGTCTTTATCCAAAATGTTCTGCTGTTCTCTTCAGAGCTCCACACAGCCAGCCGCCGAAGGGTGAGTCCTGGTTCTATTATGGAGGCAATTTCAGGAACAGGGTTCCCATCTGAGACCCAGGCACTGTGGTGAGAAGTCTCGCTTTTTCCTATGCAGCTGCTTCCTTTAAAAAAGTCTCAACTGGAGCTGCACCCAGACATCCTGTGATCTTGGGAAAAGATGCTGTTTGGTTTCTTCATCGTCACAGAGAGCTAAATGAGGCAGGGCCATGAGGGCAGCAGGCTTGAAGCTCCCTTTGTTTAACTGAGTCACTAATAATACTTGAAGCCCTCTGCAGGGCACAGCCTGTCTCTACAGACCCTTTGGGTCTTTAAGTGTTAAATGGAATCTTTATTACAGTCTCTCCCAGAATCCAAAATTTACCATTAGAAAGAATTTTAAAAGAATCTCAACACTGCATAATCAGATAAATAAAGTCTTATGAATTGGTCATAATTTAGAGCAAAAGGGGGCCAGTTTCAATTATTTTTGGAATGAGAGAATGAATTGAGAATTATATGGTTTTCTTACTTTCAAATCAAGCCAATGAAACTGTGCTTTCAAGAGACAGTCTGCAAGCCTTCTAATTCATAGACTGGCTAGGACTTGCTTGTGTCACCTCCATCCCATATTTTCACAGACACAAAGGCAGCCTTGAGCCCACTCTTTGCTAAAAGACTCCACAATCCAGATGAGCTGGGTCTGGATGAATGAGAACATGTTATATCACATTCCAAAACACAATCTCGTGAATATAAGGCCTCAGGACCTTAGAAACAACCTCTTTCCAATAGCTGTATTGTCTCAGCACTTCTGGCAAACTTCTCCTAATTTGATATACAGAAAGCAGGGAATCTTCAGGGAAAATCTTCTGGAAGGCGAATGGGGGATACATGGGCTGGAAACATGTTGAGTTTTGGGGATTAGAGGCAAGTGCAGGAGGAAAGGGTGTGGATGAGGGGGAGGAGAGAGAAGAGGAGGGAGATAATGTGGGTGGAGGAGTAGAGAAGATGGACTTGTTTGATACATTTTAGCATGATTGCTTTAGAGTTTCCATCTCGTGATAACGTAGTTTGAATATAAGAGGCCAATGAACCATTTAATAGAAACATTCAATAAGTCTTTTCCTGATTTAAATATGTCCTCATTTATCAAATATTGGCAGAATACTGGATAGAGCACTGGGTTAAGCTTTATTTACACTCATGGTAGACTTGACTTTCCAGGCAAAGTTGTCAGATTGAAAGATATTTTGCATAAAGTTTATTTTAATTTGGGAGATGAAGATTGTAAGTAGGCAAATTTAGGCTCCTGTGGAAGTGAACGGGCCTGTGGTCACTGCTGTTACCAAGTATCTCCTGAGGAGGAATCTGCTGGCCCAACATTAGCTGCTGGAGGGACGGAATCTGCTCACGGCAGGCTTTGCAGAAAGCCGACTTGGATGCCTTTCAGAGCATAAGGGAATCCAAGCTGCCTCAAAGATGCTTCATAATGAAACGCTTCAAATGAGCATATCCACGCGGATTAACAGGGGAGGACAGCCAGGGAGGACCAGCCCTGCCTCCTCACACGCTGGAGATCAAATAGCAGGTTCTGTGCTTCTTGACATGACAACACATGAAAGAATATCTATGCTTCTCTAAACCCACAGTAAGTGTTCATAATTTCTTTTCATTTTAGTAATTCTCTCCCCATTTAGAAAATGCAAAGAAACCAGATAGCACACTCTGGCAATACTTCTTAGGCTATTTAGAATTTGGGGGGCAAAGTTCAGTTGTGAAAATGATGAGCACTGTGTGGGCAGTTAGCCTAGTGGTTAAGATGCCTGGGTTCCATTCCTGACTCTGGCTCCTGATTCAAGCTTCCTGCTGATTCAGACCCTGGATCCCGCATTAAGTGAGTAGCCATAAGTAACTGGGTTCCTGGCAGCCACATGGGAGACCTGCATTGTGTTCCTGGCTCCTGGCTTTGGCCTGCTCCAGCCCAGGCGGAAGGGTGTATTTGGACAAGTGAACCAGCAGATGGCAGCACCCTCTCTGTCTGTCTATTTTCTCGCTCACTGCGTCTCAAATAAATAAAAACTAATAAAAATGGAAAGCATAACTAGACGCCCGGATGACCACAGGCCATGGACGTGGGAATTGGGTTTTAAGCTGAAGTTGAACTTAATGTTCAGAGCAGACCCGGGACAGTTACCTTGCAGCCTTCACACGTGATACAGCGGTAGTGATACCCAGTGGCTTTGTCACCACACACCACACAGAGCTCGTCCTTGTCCAGGTAACTGGGGATGTACCCTGCGAGGGAGACAAAAGGAGGAATGTGAAAAAAATGGTAGATCGTCCAAGTCAAAGATAGATCACAGCTAAGGTCGCCAGGCCATCACCAAAACTGGTTTTCCAAGAGGAGGTGGTGACGACGGAAAAGATGCAAGTGTGTTACAGCTGCAGAGTTAACCTCGTGCCCAGGATTTCAGAACGCCTCAGCCGAGGGGGTGCTCCTGCTGCTGTGTGGGTGGGACCAGGAAGGCTGCGAGAGGCTGAGTCCAGCAGAGGCCAGGAGTGGAGGCACCTGGAGCACTCCGAGCGCTGCACTTTTTCACGAAGCTTACGATTTCAGAACTTGCTCTCAAAGGAGACCGGATCCGCTTGGGAATCATGTTCCACGCAAAAGACTGAGAAAACTGCACAGCTGGACAGGCCCTGGTGATCCTTGGGTACTTTTACAGTGAAGAAAGAGGCCTTCCGAGGCTTGGTCTTCCTCAGGGCCTCACTGGAAGCTACCAGCAGAGACAAAACCCCAGATCCAGCCCACCAGTGTAAGCAAGGCGGGCCTTTTTCTAAAAATAGAGCATTTAAGCAGCGTGAATAAGGCCATCTAAGAAAACTCTGGTAGATGTGACAGCAATGATGCACCGTCCCATAATGCTGGGCGGCTTGAAATCATACAGGTGCTTCTATATGTTAAGGAAAAACCCAACCATGGTGCTTCTCTTTATTTATGTACTCCAAGCTGTGAGCTTTACTTTCTTGACCCAGGAAGCTGCCCATTCCCCACAAGGCTTGGCCGCTTCCCTTTTTCTTGGGGACAATGCCCTCCCAGCAGGCTTGGATTCAGCAGGGCAAGGCAGTTCACACAGATCAACGCTTTGCCACAGATGCACAGATGAGGCCAACAAATCAAGGCGTGAGTGGTTGGGATGTGAAGCAGGGAGGGGCTGAGAAATTGCAGATTCTTCTTTCTCCTGATCATAGCTTTCATGAAGTTCGTTGACTCGGCACGTTTTCCTGGGTTTCAGAAAAGATTAGCTAGGTTGGAATGACACATGACTTATTGTATATTTTACCATGACATTTTCATAGGCCTTTTCTTAAATGAGGTCACCGAGGGCTTACTTTTCTGAAAAGAAGCCGTCTTGAAAACAGAGGAAAATGAATCCTTTGCATAATTTCTTAGAAATTACTTTACTCAGACTTTAATTTAGAAAAACGCTCCATCTCGGGAGGCAGATAAATGACTTCAAAGTGAGATCTGTACTGTACAGGATTATATTTTTAAAACATCACAGCTTTTCTTAGTTTACTTCTGCATCATGCAAACCATGATTCATCTGTTGAGTTCACTGCTAGGGTTTCAAAATGCTCATCAGACATTTTTAAAAAGAGAATTCGGGGAGGGATCTAGGAAAGAAAATGGAGAACTGGAATGGGCTGTGTGTTCATTCAATCATTCATCTATTCATGAATTCAGCATACATTTATCTAGCATCTACTAGGGCTTAGTGCTGTGCCAGGTGCTGAGAATATAAAAAATCAATAAGACGAGCTTGCTTTCTTTGGGAGGCATTTGTGCAAGCAACTGAATTGTTTCTCCAGGCCTGGTTATTCCTCAGTGAAAGAGAAAGAAGTGAAAATAAAGCAAGAACATGAACGCACGCTCCAGATCACTAGAAAACAATGCACATTAAACCCATAGTGAGATATCGCCTCCCACGCACTAGGAAGGTTCTAGCAGACCAGACAGATAATAACAAGTGTTGACAAAGACTTGTGCTCCTGTGCCTGTGCGTGCATGGGGACAACTACTTCACAAACACAAAGTAACCCAACTCTTCAAACGAGAAACTTGTTCTGAGGAAAGCTCCATCTTGACCTCTCACACCTGGAAGCTATGCACAGTTGATCCAACACAGTGAATTCTCCGGAGTCTTGCACATCAAATGAAGCTCGCAGAGCTAAGGGACGAAGAGGCTCCTGTCATGTGCAGGAGCCCACTGCAATCCAGCTGGACACTACGTCCTTGTGTCTCCTGTCTGAGGAGGGACTGCCACATGGTGTCTGAGAACATGAACCACAGTCAGGAAGCTGCAGATGAGTCATCCTATCACCACCCTCACCCTGCTTCATTCCTGCTTGCTTTACCTTGTGGCATTAGCAAAAGGACATCGGAGATTTCCCTCTCTCAGCAGCTCAACAGTTTAGGTAGGACAAACTGTGTGACATTACGGTTCCTGTGAACCTTGGAACTGGTGTGTGGAACAGGCTCTTTCCATTTTTCTGATTGCTCAGTGGATCACTGGTTTGCTTTATTCCCTTATTTCTCCTGGATTATCTTCTTAGTGGGTGGAGGTGAATAAAAGTCTTTAGTCAAACTATCAAGCCTTCCACAGAAACATCTGCTTAAGTCTCCGGCAGCTGCTTGCATGATCATACTAGCACACCACACCCCTCGCTTTCTTCTCTCTAACATATTAACTCCAAACCATCTTATTTATCTAAAACAGTCATCACAAGTAATGATATGTCAATCCCTATGCCTAAGCCCATTATTCATCGTTAAATAACTTCCATCAGGGAATACTAGCCTGCTTCTAGTGCGAGGTAGGTAGGGGATCTCTTCAGATCATTGGGTCTGGGATTCTTGAAATCACGTGCTAATCCAGTCTCCTGCAGAACTTAACCACTTCTTGCTGTTCTATTTCAGTATCTTTTTCATTTTTCCTGCTCGCTGAATGAATCCCTTACTGGCTGATATGCCCAGCTAAAGTAAACACACATGCAACACTAGTTACTGGGAGTGGGAACTGATGGACATCAAAATGTCAGCGTTGGGTTCTACCCAGAAACAAATACGAGAGACACAGTCATAGAAGCTACACCGTTCATCTGAGGAAGTGTCCCAGGTGACTGCTAAAGGCACTGGCTAATAACTCCCCAGTAAACAACTGAAACCGTGACAATGTGCAATTATTTCAGGGTGGTAGGCTTTCCCTAGCTTTTATTTGCATTGTTTTTCAGACTAATCAGTGATGCTGCCACTTGATCAAGCATATTTTCATGAAAGCAAACTCCATCTGCTTGTTCAACACAGGACTTGGCGGTTTTTCTTTTTAGTTGACATTTGGCAGTGTCTGATGAGTTGCTTAAGTATTACCTCACATATGAAATAGGTTGACATGGTAAAATATTACTTTTTAAAACCTTTTTGGGTAAGAACTTTATGAAGCTATAATTCACATACCATATAACTCAATGGCTTTAAATATATTCAGAGTTGTGAAACTATCACACTATCAATCTTAGAATATTTTCATCACCCCTCAAAGAAATCCCATTCCTTTGGAAGTCATCCCTCCCTGTGCTCTAGGCAACCACACATCTACTTTCTGTTTTTACAAATCGTCTATTCTGGACATTTTATATAAATGGAATCATACAACATATGGTCTTTTGTGAGTGGCTTAATATTTTGAAGGTTCAGCTATGCTGTACCGAACACTGAGTTAAAAAAGTTGATCCTCAGAAGTTCGTGCCTTTGCCCTCCAAATTGTGCAACAGGCAGTGAACTTGACTTCTTGGTTTGTGCTAGCTTCAGTGTTTTTCCCTGTAAGGGGAAAATCAGAAGGCTGCCTAGTTTGAATCTTTAAAAGTTTTTTCTTAGTTGAGAGGCAGAGAGGGGGAGGGAGGGAGGGAGAAAGAGGAAGAGAGAGAGGAGAGAGAGCCCACTTCCATCTGCTTGTTCACTTCCCAAATCCCCAGATGCCTGCAGTGACTGGGGCTAGTGGATCCAAAGCCAGGAGTCAGGAGCCCAATCCAGGTTTCTCACCACTTGGTGTTAGAGACCCAATTATTTGAGACATCAGTGCTGCCTCCCAGGGTCAGCATTGCCAGGAGGCCAGAGGCAGGGTCAAACGCAGGCGTCTGATGTGGGACACATACAGCTTTATCACTGGGCCACACGCCCACCCTAGCGCAATTCTCGAGTGAATTTTTACAGCATGTAACATAGCCTGGGAGGAGAACCACTGGTGATCATTTGGTCACCGTGAAAAACACGTAGCCCTTAGGGAACAGAGTACAAAGCAGATTGATCTTGGTAGATCTAAAGGAGAAGGTGCCGCTTAGGGAGGCAGAGGTGGCAGAATGGAGAGGAGCTGGGTTTAGAGATGTTTCCAATCTGGCTAATCCACATAAGACCCTTGCCCAGCCGAGCCAGCCCTGGCACCCTCAGGGAGCACTCGTTATTTGTGGTAGTAGAATCTACACAGTTCTTGTGGGCAACTGCACCTGCTGAAGATGCCAAGTAATAACAGCAACAGTGAAAAATAATAAACAGGCACGGCTTGGTTCATCTTGTCCAACTACCAACTCAGAGCCAGCAAGAATGCTGAGTGGCTTGGGATAGGATACAGGATGCGATTATACAGGGTATTCAAAAAGTTTGTGGAAAATGGAATGAAAAGATAAGTTTATGGGGCTGGCAGTGTGGTTCAATGGGTTACGCTGTCACTTGCAACAGCTGGTTTGCATCCCAGCTGCTCTGCTTCTGAGCCAACTCCCTGCCAATGCATATGGGAAGGCAGCGGAAGATGGCCCATGTACCTGGGCCCCTGACACACATGTGGAAGGCCTGGAAGAAGCTCCTGGCTCCTGGCTTTGGCCTGGGCTAGTTCTGGCCATTGCAGCCACTTGGGGAATGAACCAGAAGATATAAGATTTCTCTCTGAATCTCCTTCTGTCACTCTGTCTTCAAACAAAGAAAAGAAATCTCTAAACAAAAGGTAAGTTTGCTTTAGTGCAAAATTTGGAATCTATGCTTTTTTCATAACAAGCACTTTACACAAACTTTTTGAAGACCGGTTGTATTTTAACACCCTGAAGTAAGCTTTATTACTCTTTCAACTTTATTGTGAACGCCTTCAATTCAGCCTGCAGCTCAGACCTCTCTGATTTAAGCTTCTTTTCTGCCGGTACCTTCTTCCCTAAGCCATTTCTTTACATACTTAAAAACCTCGAAT